AGAGATTGATGATAATTCTAGAAATATAATGAGCTGATTCAGTCTGACCTGGATATCGTGTCTAGTTCTACTCACATAGACTTACAAAGCAGAAAGCAAGAAAAAAAGTCTGCCAAAACTGTCAGGAGAATTAAAAAATATTGCTCACATCAAAGGACAAGAAATTGTAACATCAGTTTTAAAGTTAAAACAAATAAGAGGTCTGCTAAAGATACATAAACAAGCAACTTACGAAAGCAGGTGCTCTTATTTACTGTTTCTTGATATAAGAACAATGACACATTCAGTTAACTAGGGAAATAGTTTAAAAATACATCACAGAGAAGTGGCCTTTCATAACGAATTCACAAAATCTGTTGAGTTTACTGTATTATTTTAAATTTGAGATTCAGTGGAGAATACAGATATTAAGAAAGCTTGTATCTATGCAAGAAAGAATAAGGAAGAACAACGAAAAATTCAGCAGCGCTTGAAATATCACATGGCAGAGTCTTGTTTACTCCTCATTTCAATCATGGATAGAAAAGAATAGGACCACCTGAGACAGCCTTTGATTTGGACAACTGGGTACTGCTGATATTCTGCAATGGTAATAATTAGATCCAAGGAGAAATGTCACTCTTTAAACACGTCAATATAATGCAAGTCATTCCTTGGAGTGCCATGAAAATTCTAATGGAGAGCTGTGAATTGTGCAAGAAGAACCACAAAAATTACAATTTCCAGTGTTTATTTAAGGCTGCACGCACAGCCCTGGTTTGTTTGAGCCTGAAATTTCAACAAGTATTTTCCTTCTGGAGTTGATGCTTGTACAGCCTCATACAGGGAGAGTGAGCGCACATCCGATATTTACTTGTGCATCAAGTGGCCTGGCCACATCCTCACTGCCCTGGTGAGTCACTTCATCAGGTTGACCCTTGCTGAAGCTGCATTCTGTGGCTCTGCAGGCACCTTCTTATAGTCCTGGGACACCTGTACCACAGTTTGCCTTGGGAGACTTCAAACATGACATCTTATCCCATAGGTGCTTGTAGTTTTCCATGACCAAGTTTTTCTGGTATTTGTCTCACCCTGTCCTCTCTGCATCATGATATCTTTCAACCCAATCATGCAGCTCTGCCTGGTTTACTTGCTGTTATATCACCCATGCGCTATAGCAAAAGATCACATCATTTGAGCCAGGGGTAAGATTTATAAGTTAAATTCACCTGATTCACCTGGAAACAGCCTGGAAGCACTAATTTAATCATACAACCATAGAATCACAGAATGGTTTGAGTTAGAATGGACCTTAAAGATCCTCTAGTTCCAAACCCCCTGCCATGGGCAGGGGCACATGTGTATGCATGGTATGCCCTGACTACTGGGACCCTGAAGTCACGGTTATCTACAAAGGCCACCTAAATTATTTTGGTCCCTCTACCAACAACACTGACTCCAGCAGCCAAAGCTACAACTGCTCATGTCCTTCCTAATTGAGACTATGGACTGTCTACCTGGACCAATTAAGGGACACCAGCAAACAGCAGAGGCAAAAACACTCTCTAGAATGGATCCCTCCTCTAAACTGCACTTGCTTGCACGTGCTTCATCCCTAATGCTCACTAAGTTAGTGCAGGGTTGTTGCTGTCAAGCACTATTGACAGTGCTTGAACTACTTACCCCTCTCAGAATGGGACACAATGGAGGACATGGCTCAGGAGGCAGTCCAAGCTGAGTCTGAAAAGGACATTTGCTAGTTAAATAGACAGTGGGAAGGATACTGTGAACTCCAGACCCTTCAGACACAGCTGGTTCCCAAGAGGATCCCACAGGTTCCTCTTAGGATGTCAGGCTCTGAAGAGGGCTGCATCATTTTTTGTGTTCCTGTGAAGAATATATTCAGACAACAAAAATCATGCAGAAATAAAAAGGAATTTTTCCTACTTTATTCCTAGGGAGGCAATCCCTGTGATGGGGAGTGTTGTAATAATGTCATTTGGGATGAGAAAGCAATACTTTACCCTGGAAATGACCTATCTGCCTCTTCTAAGAAAGGCAGAACAGGATCATGTGAGATCCAACAAGTATGGGTATGACCATTCTGAGTACACTGCTCCATAAGCCTCTCCCTGACCGGTGGTAGGACCCTGGCGTACTCTGTGCAAAAAGTCAAGACAAAATCTGGATGGCTTAGTCAGATATACATAGAAATGCATCATCTGGTATTATTATGGCAGTATGAAATTCGTTACATGACATGTAAATAAGAAGCCGAAATCTGGTTCTCTGTTGCCTGGTAAGAGTTTTCTTGGAGGAAAATGTTCTTTCATTCATTTTCTGTGACTGTAGCACAGTGCATGGGAGATGAGGGGATAGGTGAAGTGAATGCCAGCGATACTCCCGAGCAGCACTGACTGGAAATTCAAAAGGCTGTGACTCAAACAGATGTACCAATCACATGAAGACTGCGTTAGGTAGAAAAGAAGAAGATCCCAGGCCAGACAGAGTCTCTGTGGGCTTTGTAACCTCTGCATCATCTTAAGGAGAACTAGTGAGGTTTTCTCTTGAAACATTGGTTTTCATGAGAAACAGCAGAAACATCAAAACCAAAAACTGTTGTGGACTCACAGTATGTGTAGACACTCCACTTTGTGCAAAAAAAACCCCAAATATAATTAACAGAAGGTCTTGATCCTACATCCCAAATGAGCATTCCGGTTAGTGGGCTGTCAGCCTTTCCAAAGATTACTGTTTAATTGCATATATGTAAAGGGAAAATATCTCCAGCAGGACAGATGAACAGACACTCATCACAACATAAGTGAATGTGCAATTCTTTCTCCTAGACTGAAGACTGAGGTCTAGACCCTTGTTTAATTCAATCTGAGCAAAATACTGAAACAGTAAGTTCTCCTTCCCAGACTCAGTAAGTATCTCGAAAGGCTATGTTCCCAAGAAGCTGGAACATGTCTATGTGTGGGTATGAGTAATTTTCCAGTGAATGAGGTTTTGCATTATACCTAGGGCACTGCACTAATCCTAGGAATTGCATTATTCCTAGAACAAGTGTGGGGAAAGGGTTAATATTATACGGGAACATATACATGGAAGCATGGGAAGTGTAGTCTTTGTGCCACGCCTCCGGAAAATGACTCTATGGAGCATTCCCATTACAAGGACTCGCTAAGGACTGTGGGAAATACCGCACGGTGTCACGAGAGGTATGTAAGGGCTTTTTAGCGCGTGAAAAAACGATTTTACAGCTGCACATGCATCTCTTTTGTTGGTGAACCCAAATGCTACAAACAAGAGTATACTGTTTTAAATGTATTGCACTGAATTTGAGAAAAGACTAAAAAATTAGTAGTTCTGACAGTGAATATATCTGGAAGTTTCCTGAACATTGTAATATCCTAACTTGCTAATCAGAGATCCACATTTCGATAGAATAAGTCATTAAATTCTACTTATTAGTATTGGAGGTTTTTATATCTTCACCAAACGTAAGAATTCACTGTAGTTAGCTGTAGCTTCCTCACCCATCATGTCATTTTTAGTTTTGTGCAGAATCTCCAAGAAGTAAAGCTGTCGCTGCCATCTAGTGTCTTTAGAACAGGTTTCTAGTAACTGTACTAAGAAAAAAAAAAGTGTTTTCATAAGACTGATTTCCTTCTCCAGTTTCTCAGCTGCTAGTAAATCTCACGTAGTTCATAGAAAGTTGTAAACTTTGGGAAGTTTAAAAGATGTTTGCTTACTTTTTTTTCTCTCCTGGAATATATGTTTGCATCCTCTAAGTCCAGCTTGTTCAGGATCATGTAACCAGCAGAGAAACTAGCCCTGAGGAGCATCTGACAGACTCCTTTTCCTGCGTTATCCTTTTTCCCCCTTCAAATGACACATTAATCAATAACAATTCATATACTATTAAGTGAATTTGTGTAGTTCCACATAAAAACTAGGAACCTGGTGTGAAGTTATTAGTTCTACTTATATTACATCCTGTGAGACATCTGTCTCAGCCTCTCATGGTCCTTTCCTCACAACATCTCAGGAAAACAGTCAGTTCAGTCCCTCCCTTGGAAAAAATACATTTCTTTTCAATTCTTGATGGTCTTGGGAGATATCCCATCAGGTCCCCACCCATGCAATGTTATTCTCATGTGAGGGCAGTGGGTCCCAGAGCATCGGGTACTGTGGAGAGTGTTCCTTTCTGACTGACAGCAGCAGCAGAACCCCTCTGGCTCTGATCTCAACCTTCCACTTCCACAGCACAAGCAGTATTTTCCATTTTTTCTTAGCAAAATGCCAGGAACTGACAGCCTGGTACTTTTCTTAGCTGAGGTAGAGCTAACCGCAGAACAGCTTGCGTCTCTTGCTGGGGATGAAGATGCAGAAACTGGAGCTGTGCTTGGACTTGTGCCAAAGGCTTCTTCCAGTCAGCCGAGCAGCAAACGGTAATCTTTCTGTTTGGGCTGGGTGGCAGCTGGATATGATCATTCTGATGGCTTTTGAAGTTCCAGCTTTCTATGCAGTACCTTTTTCCCCTGCCAAGTGTTTAACATTAACAGAAATTTGCATAGATATGAAAGACATTCATTGACATCTCCTTGCTTCCCTGTCCACCTTTGCATTCCCTTATCCACTGCAGCTCATGTTCTTCGAAATTCAGAGGACTCAGACTCAACAACTAGCCCTTATGGAAGGCTCATTATTATTTTGACACAATTTTCCAGCAAATCTTTATACTGAGAATAACAAGGACTAAGTTTACATGTCCAGACCCTTATTTCATTTCTGAGTAATTAAGTTAAACTGCAGCCCAATACCAAACATTATGTTTTTCAGGCATACTCCATTGCCTTGGAGGAAAAAAAAAGTAAATCACATTTTTAAATAGAGGTGAAAATTTTAATGAATAAAATGCACAGGTTAGTGTTCCTGATTTCTTTTGTCCAATAGCTCTCTTTTATGACAGGCAGAATATGGAATTTTAATTTAAGTAATTTCACAATGTCAGCTTATTTCTTCAGTTTATTTAATATTATTCTCTAAAATTGAAAAAATATTCACAGTCCCACATAATTTCCATTGATTAAAAAAACCCAACCAGACCAAAAACTTACAATGTACTGAAGCAACTGATATAGATATTAAAAGAGTAACAAACATGAAAAAATATATTCTTTTCAATATTTTGATTTGGATGTTCATGTTCTCTTCTGGCACAGCTAGGCATGACCTCTATAGACGTCACTTCAGTTTACATCAGCTGAAAACATGAGCTGTGATACCAGATGTAGCATCATGCAAGTCTTCAACCTGCATGGTTCTCTCTCTTGTTGCTGCTTCTTTCTAGTTTCCCCAGTATCATCCAGACTGATGATTTCTGCAGGCAGTAGTTTTCCCTTTTCCTGTTTGCTGTCTCCTTTGGAATGACACCTCACTACTTCTGTACCTTCTGCTTGTTCTAGAGATGACATGTGCATCTGCTTCCAAGGAGACATTTCTAGTCAAATGGGGATACTTTCAAATACCTTTGAATTCCCTAACTTCATTTGTGTGGCCTAGTGTTACCTTCTCAGGGAGTCACCATGCAGTCCTCACTCGTTCATTACACACCTGAATTCCTAGTATGTTAAAAGGCATTTCAAAAAGAGATGAAGGATTACTTTAAAAATATAATGCTCCTGGGTTTATCAGGTGTATTTCTTGGGACATGCTAGGAGATCTTTGAAAGATGCTAGACATGCTCAGATTACCAGGAATTAGTAGTGTTCGTGATCATGTGTGATGTATCCAGCATCTCACTTCAATACTAGACAAAGTTTAAGTGGTGCAATGCCCCTTGAAATACTAGTGATTTATTTTCTCCTTTCCTATTAAGTTAATTCAGTTCCAGACTGGCATGCAGCTGTATAGTTCCATATATACAGTATACATTTGGTGGTAGGTAGCCCAGTGCTTGTTCACGGAACCTTGCTGTCCTCTAGTAAACCTATATGCCCGCATTATTATTATTTCCATGTACTACAAGCTGCTCTGCAGCCGATGACATGGAACTCAGCTGTAATTAGCACCAAAATAGGGAGTTAGTATGCAGGACACGGACAATTCTTTTGCTCCAGATGCTGTATTCAAACTGCAGTTGTCCATTGAAGAAGTAGAGATAACCTAAGGAAAAGGAATGTTAAAATGAATTAACACAGAGAAAACAGTGTTGTCATGTTAAAATTATTGTTAAAATAGAAATTATCTTATTTGTCTTCATTTTTAATGTCTTTTAAATGCAACATTTTAGTATTTAGAATGCTGAGCTAAATTTTTTAAAGATCCTCATTCCATTTGCCAGACCTGCATCAGAGTTTTAAAATAACTGATATTCTTTAATCTTGTGTCAAAGTCTGCATTTTATCACCTATACAGCACTTGCTTAAGAAAATACAGTGTTTGCATGTTAATGGTTAAGACTGACTTGGAAACACCCCTTGAAAAGTTGGATAGGAATGGGCTCCATTTGAAGGAACAGACACGTTATAATACTTCTGTATTAAGCATATCACTTTAGTTTCCTAAGCAAGGAGGGAGGTCTTTTTTTGTCCCAGATCATGATTTAGATTAGAAAACTGATTCAGCCAAGAAAAGAAGTGTTGATATGAAAAAATCAAAATTACAAATGACAGAGTTTTCCATAGGACATTAATCTCAATTTTCAAGGGCAACTGATTGTAATCAAGTTTCGTTATCAGATTATGTACCATTTCTTTCATAGACTGCATCCACTTTATCACCAATTCCAGCGAATTCTTCCTCTATGAGCCTGGGGTAGCCTGCTTCCATAATTTCTGCCTCTTCATCATAACTATATTAAATATAAAAGAAAAAAAATCAGAGGATTTAAGCAGCGTGGGAGTTTGATCTGTACCCTTTATATGCTTTGAAGTTACTCACACCTGAAGCAGCCAGCAGACTTTAGATGCTTTCTGTCCAGTGCAATAAAGAAACTCAGGGCAATAAACAGGGCAAACCTCCACCAGAAGTGGAATAAACACTAGAGTTTATAGAGTTACATTTTCAGAACTGATCTATGAAGTATATATTCCATGGAGATTATTGTACCTGGATGTACTGGCACTACAAGCTGCTGACTGAGGCTGCTGGCACAGAGATACTGTGAAGTGATGATAGTGTCTTAATTATGCATGAGACCTGGCTGTGAGCTGCACTTATAGACAGAAAAAACCAGACACCCTGTGGTGAGACAGATTTCTTACTCGCAAAGTACTGATACCATTTCATGTCACGCAAGCAACTCAAGGAAGCAAGATGGGAATTTTGTCTTGCAGACAGGACCACATCACAAATTCTCCTGGATCAGAGCACTTTATTCTCCTTTCCTTTCTTTCACTCATTCAGCTTTTAAAGTCTGTGCCCATATGTTTATAAAAGTCTTGTGTACACCTTCACAAGATATTGTACACAGCTATAGCAACAATGAAAACCACAGACTGGAAACATGAGCCAGAGCCAAATTCCTGATTTGAACCAGCCAGCTGATCTTTTGATATGACTAGGGACACTGATCTGTCTCCAGCTTACCTCCAGTACTTATTTCCAGTAAAAAAGAGAGTCTTGCCAGTGTCTTTAATATGGACAGCTGCATCTATTCTTTTCATTTCTTTTGGGAATCCCATTTCATATATCTTTTTAGGAAAGTCTTCAACTATATCATAGCCATTCAAAGCCCAGACTTTCTTTCCTGAAAATAAGAACAAAGTATGGGTGAGTCTTTTGTAAAGACTCAGCTTTGAGAGCAGAATGTAATGAGGATGTTGTGATCCCTATTTTTATACAAAAATAGATTTTTAGATCACGTACTTTGAAGGTATTAGACTATTTGTGCTATGATCCTATGCATCTGAATTTAATTGTACATCTCCTAATTCACTGAAAACTGTATAGATGTGCATGAAGTGAAACCAACAATTTGTTTTTTGAGTAAGGAAGTAGGATGTTTTGTTCGTACCTTTACAGCTTTACTGAGCTTAATTAAATATCTATATTTTTCTGCCAACAACAAACTTGAAAACTCACCCTTAAACATGAATACAAGATCTTTGATGGGATTTTCATAAGCTGCATCTATTTTATTTGGAAGCTCTGGCCAAAACGACTTAAGTAACACCAGTTCTGCCTCGACCATCTGAGGGTGCAGTCTCCAGAAAAACCTAAGTCAGAAAAAGAAAACACATTTTATGTTTCCTGCCATTCCATAAAATAGCAGTATCTTTGATGTGCTATAGTAAAAATTAGTTACTGATGAATTAATTTTTTTCATAGCATAGAATATTTAGTACATAGAGCTCCTTGTAGACCTTTCCTTTCCTCATAGTCATCTAGTTGCAGATAATTTCTGTCACTCCCACAGTGATCATCTCAAACAGTAACAAATTTAGAATAAGAGAAACACAGCTGTCCCATGTAAAGTTTCTGAAGATAGTACCCAAACACTTATTAGTAGATTTGTCCATGTTGAAGAAAGTCCCATGAAATGAAAAATGTGTACAAAAAGTGTCAGCCTTCAGCCATATTATCTTCACTTCAAATTACTGGGCTGTGAAGTCTGGAATTGTATTATAAATCCTGCCTAAAAAGATATATGATGTAGTTTCTTAGAGACATCTATATTGATTTGTGATCTTTTAAACTTATGTTCATTCAAATCTTTAGTAAAAAACTGAAATGGTGTTTTTGCTTCCTCAAAATTTTATCCAATACCCACCATCTGTAACATGGAAGTCTCTTTACCTGTCCTTGAAGACCAGCATCTCTCCACGAAGTTCTGTTATTGCATCAAGTGATAATTCTACATCACATTTCTCTGGTGTTTTGGGATGTTTCGGGTTGGGATCTTTGTCTCCAGCACCTGGAACCATACCATATGATGTAAGCTTGACAATGTTATTTTCCTTATCTTGTTCATAATATTGAATAGGGCATGGAAGAGTTCCCAAAGAGTATGATAAATACAAACATATATGCAAAACATTTATACTGGGGAAAGTCTGTTCTCTCTCTTCTCTAGCCAAATACATTCTCAGACTTTGCAGTTCAACTGTGCTGCAAAGACGTTAAATGGACTTTCTTTCTTTATCCCAAGTTTTGAAGGTCCCTCAAAATTTTTATTCTTTACGTGATGAAACATGGATAGTTCTGTTTCTTGCTTTAGACTCTATTTTACCTTCTCTTTTGAGGCAGGTCAAAAAGTATAAAGACTCTGCCCTCCACCCCCTACCACCAGAGGAGACAGCACAGTGACCAATGGTCCTCTGCAGTATTACTTCCTTTTTTTCTTTCTGAACTATTAAATCTAAACCTCTTCTGTTCCAATGAACTGGTCTTAAGCAGTGATGACTGTTGTTATGGAGTATCTGCAGCTCTATAGTAACTGTGCAGTGCATCTGTAACAGGTTATAATGATACAGGAGATATATATTATACAGACTTACCATAGAGTTCTTGGATCCCTTGCACATCATCATCAGGAAGAACAAAACCAGTTTTTCCAGTGTATGTGTAAATTGGAAACATCAAAGCTCCAGGGTCTCTAGAGTGTTCAAGTCCCAGTGAATGACCAAATTCATGGGCAGCAACAAGAAACAAATTATAGCCTATAAAAAAACCACAGCAAAAGTAAATGTATATCTCCTTGCATCACCAAAAGGGACTTGGAATAGCCAAGTAACCTTAACACTGTTTATTCTATTAAAGTTCTGTCCTGCATAGGCAAGGTAATGAATTTTCAAGGTAAATGCAAACAGATAATTTGCAGTTGAGTTATGTGTTTTCTATAGGCATCAGTAAGGCACTTCCCATCAGTCTGTGATCAGAACTAGCTGACCTTGAGCTCAGTGAAATGCCAAAATGACAAAATCCCTTGGTTGTGGCATTTTTTAATCACTTCACTTACGAGCTTTATATCTTAGAATTTATGCTAGGCAAATGTAAAACTTGTATTTATGACTGGAGGTTAAACCCAGCTTTCTCTGTGTAAATAGTGAACATGACAAAGAAGCAGTGAACATGAGAGGCAAAACAAACTGTTCACAGATATCAAACTGGGAAAAATTCTCCATCTATCACCATTTCAAATAATCTCAGGAACTTCTGTTACCTCTAGAATCGTCTGACCAAGTTTCATCATCATCAAAATGGGCATCTCCTCCATAGTCTGGACCCGGGGGGAAAGCATGAGCCAGTAATCCAGAGGGTCCATCGAAAGGGTAAAAGTCACCATGTTCTACAAAACAAAATTCAAAACAATTGAATTAATTACCCCATCTTATTTGGAGGAATACTACTATAAAGTAAAAACAATTGGTTCTGTGTTACCTTTAGTGCCAAAGGAGATCATGATATCAGCTATACCGCTTCGTATTCTGGTGAAGTTCAGTGGTGTCACATCAGACCAAACTTTAAATGCTTTTTTGAAAGCTCGGTCTACTTCAGCACGTCTCAGATCTGAAGTGTAATTCATAATTCTGTCAAACAGATTAATATCTCCAGTTAAACTGTATGAATTGAAGAAATGTGCAATGCACTTTTATCTGACTGTACACCTCATTAAAAATTTTTGCTTTTTTCATATGTTCTTATCACATAACAAAGAGCTCGGCAGCTGCATACAGTATTAAAAAAAACCCAAAACAAACCATTTCTATTTTCATTAACATAATTCAGAGACATTCAAAATGATCCAACTGCTGTCTTTAATTGGTTTTCTATACACCAGAAGATATAGAAAATGACAGATATATTTGATATTAAGTCAAATCATGTCAGTAACTTCAAACTTTTTTTTTATGTCATGTAAAATATCTCATGATCCTTACTTCCTGGAGGAGCAAAATATAATCCAAAGATATTTTTACAGGTTAGAATCATTCACATTAAATTAATATTTATCACTAGATACCAAACTAATAGAGTTCCGTGATTTTGTATTTGGAACTGCTAAATAAACTCAGGCTGCAGCTGGTCAAAACCCTGGGCTGACAACCTTGCAGAATTAAAGGACAAGGAGCTACCATGTGAACTTTCATCACCTTCACTTCCTAAGGTCAACTTTCAGGGGTCGTGGTACGGTGATTTGTGTGACCAAACATAGATATCTCCATCTAGAATGTGAAATGGAAGAGCCTGCTCTCACAGCCACATTGCAGAGACTGGTTTACATCTACATTGCTTTGTCCGGAACAAGACCTGTGTGAGGCAGACACTAAACCGGGTCCAAACAGGTCACAGGAGTGACCTAGAGAAATTCATGATCTTAGTCCCTACTCTTCTTTCATTTGGTTGGATGAAGATTTACTAACTTACATCACACCAGCTTTCCTCCACAAAGAAGTACAATGGAAAAAATTAATGTTTACTTCCTTGGGCTGCAGTGTGAGCTGGGGGCACCTTTCCAAAAGTGAGGCCATAAGGGTTTTAAACTGCAACATTAATTTTGTCAAACTCAAATGCGTCCTTCTCACATCAGCCTCATATACTATCAACCTATTGGACAAGGCACCTGGAAAGAAGGTAATAACAACACTCAAAATACCATGCATTTACCTGTATGTCAAATTCATTTTTGACCATTTGAGTTTTCTAGGGAAAAAGTTATATTCCCCCACATCTGGGACACCACATCTTGGTTTCTGCATCAGCTCGTATGTTTCTTCATCTAGTTTCCCTGTCACCTCCAAGCCGAAAAAAGCTTGCATTTCCCGAAGTTTAGATGCCACTGTGTTACCACTCTTTCTTATTATGCCAGCAGGATTCAGACGGAGGTCATAGTGAGTCCTGAGATAGCGCTAAAAAGGGGAAAAGAAGTAATAAGACTAGTTTCCAAACAACTGTAACTACACAGCTTACTATTTACTAGACATGTGAATTAATTATTTTATACTGTACCTCTGCAAACTGAAGGTCTTTCTCTGTGAATTCATGGCTGTCTTCGAGAGGAATAGGGATTGTCAGGCAAAAGGACAAACCTAACAAGAAAAAGAAAACAGCTGAAAGTCTTGATTGCATCATGTTGGATTTCTGAAATCTGTAGCCCTGATGTTTCAGAGAGCAGTTACCTTTACTTTTATAGTCCCAGCCAAGTGAGTCACCACTTAGGGACAAGTTAGAACTTCCTTGTCACTTGAAGTAAACATGCTTAGACAGCTGGTTTTTCTCTCCTCCCCAACACTGTGGTTTAGGCATCCATTCTCCAACTGAGAGCTCTGAAACTGTATCCTCATATAAACACGAGGTCTCTGAATATTGACATAGGTTGTGGGAAGAAACGGGCAGAAGCAAACCACACTTTTTGATTATTTTGCAGTAACTTACACTGGCAATAACTGGCAACAATGCTGCAGTAACTTACTCTTCTTTGCTAGAAAAATTGTCTTTTTACTATTTGATAGACAATAAAAATATAATCTTGATGATTTTTAAAATAAATTCTGTAACTTTTTGGTAGTTTCACCCATGCAACAGAGATTTTTAACAGTCAAACTGATCACACACACTTCAGTTGTTAATAAATGCTGCCTTGGCTGATAAGAAATAACATTATAGAATATACAATATGATATTTTCTTTCTTTGTTTCTGTAAAGAACTATAACTCCAGAATATTAACACGAATTTTACTTCAGAGATCCTTACATAGAATTACAGAATAATTTAGTGCCTGTGATATACTAAAAAACAGAAATGCTAAATATCAGGAAATAATTTTGAATATTAAAAAATATTTAAAAATATTTAAAACTAGTTAATACAATTTATCTTCCTCAGAAACCAGGAATTTACTTTATGAGAGAATCCCAGCCAGAGATTGATGAGACAGCTACTACTCTGAGAGAGGCAATTTACCAGCTACAGGTAGGCAGTGAATCTGTGTGTCTAGAATAACAGAAAAATGTGATTTTTGACTTATGAGGTGGATTATAGGATAAATCTGGCATTATGACAGAGATAGTAATTAATATACTTCAAAGCTTAAAGATTATTTCTGTCTCCCCAGGGTCATTACAATCTCAGCTTCTGCTAAAACTTGTATGCTGACAAGCATGGGTCCAAGGAGAGATGCTCTTTCTGCTGAACTCACCTTCTTCATTCATGAATGCTTTTTTTCCTGTATGGAAAACAAGGAAAACCTTTTTGGTAGGCACTGGTACAGGCTTCCTGGAATACACTACCCTCACATGGACGTTGTCTTGTTGATAAAACAGGAAAAGGACACAAATCACTGAGGTTGAATGTGTAAAAGCTTGATTTGTTACTCAAATAATGATAGCCATTTGTCTCATGATGACAAACAGCAAAAGCAAATAAAGCTGAAAGGAATTTGTTATGTAGGCGATTTCTGCCTCACTGGCCATCTCAACCAGTGCTAAATATGGTTACACCAATTAGGAATAGACAGCTTCTGTTAATGCAGTTTGTATATTCTCCTTTACATTGTCTGTCACCAGTGCTGAGACTTCTTTACTCAGCAATGGTGGCATAAAGGCTATTAATTAGGTAATTCCACCTTCTTAAGAATCAAAGAGTCACAGAATCAAACAGTTTGGAAAAGACTTCTGATATCATTGAGTCCAACCCATGACCCAACACCACCCTGTGAACTAGCCCATGGCACTAAGTGCCACATCCAGTCTCTTCTTAAATACCTCTAGAGACGATGACTCCACCACCTCTCTGGGCAGCCCATTCCAATGTCTGATCACTCTCTCTGTAAAGAATTTCTTTCTAATGTCTAACCTAAACTTCCCCTGACACAGCTCAAGACCATGCCCTCTTGTCCTACTGCTGATTGCCTGGGAGAAGAGACTGACTCCCACCTCTCTCCAATCTCCTTTCAGGGAGTTGTAGAGAGTGATAAGGTCTCCCTGAGTCTCCTCTTCTCCAGGTTAAACAACCCCACATCTCTCAGCCACTCCTCATAGGGCCTGTGCTCCAGTCTTTTCACCAGTCTCGTTGCCCTTCTTTGGACATTCTCCAGCACCTCAATATCCTTCCTGAACTGAGGGGCCTAAAACTGGACACAGTAGTCCAGGTGTGGCCTAACTAGTGCCGAGTACAGGGGCAGAATCACTGCACTGGTCCTGCTGGTCACACTGTTCCTGATACAGGCCAGGATACCATTGGCCCTCTTGGCCACCTGGGCACACTGCTGGCTCATGTTCAGCTTCCTGTTGATCAGAACCCCCAGGTCCCTCTCTGCCTGGTTGCTCTCCAGCCACTCTGTCCCCAGCCTGTAGCGCTGCTGGGGGTTGTTGTGGCCAAAGTGCAGGACCTGGCACTTGATCATACCATTGGATTCAGTCCCTTTATCCAGCCTGTCCAAGTCTCTCTGCAGAGCCCTCCTACCCTCCAGCAGACTGACACTCCCCCTCCACTTGGTGTCATCTGGAAATTTGCTAATGGTACACTCAATCCCCTTGTCCAGATCATCAGTAAAGATATTAAACAGAACTGGGCCCAACACTGATCCCTGGAGGACACCACTAGTGACTGGCCACCAACTGGATGCAGCACCATTCACCACCACTCTCTGGGCCCGGTCATCCAGCCAGTTCCTAACCCAGCACAGAGGGCCCCTGTCCAAGCCGTGGGCTGCCAGCTTTTTCAGGAGTATGCTGTGGGAGACAGTGTCAAAGCCTTTGCTGAAGCCCAGGTAAACTACATGCACAGCCTTCCCCTCATCCACCAGGTGGGTCACCTGACCATAAAAGGAGATCAGGTTGATCAGGCAGGACCTACCCTTCCTAAACCCGTGCTGGCTGGGTCTGATCCCCTGTCCATCCTGTAGGTGCTGTGTGATTGCACTTAGGATGATCTACTCCATAACCTTGCTGGGCACTGAGGTCAGGCTGGCAGGCCTCTATTTTCCAGGGTCTTCCTTTCAGCCCTTCTTGTGGATGGGCATCACATTAGCCAGCTTCCAATCCTCTGGGACCTCCCCAGTGAACCAGGACTGGTGATAAATGATGGAGAGTGTCTTAGCAAGCTCTTCGACCAGTTCCCTCATCACCCTAGGATGGATCCCATCTGGTCCCATAGACTTGTGAGGATCCAAGTGGCTCAACAGGTCACTAACTTCTTCCTCCTGGATAACAGGGGGGCTATTTGACTCCCCGTTGCTGTCTACCAGCCCAGGAAGCCAGTTGTCCTGAGAACAACATGTCTTCTTGCTGAAAACTGAGGCAAAGGTGTTAAGTACCTCAGCCTTTTCCTTGTCTTTGGTAATTATGTTCCCCTCCATGTCCAACAAAGAATGGAGGCTTTCCTTGCCCCTTCTTTTGCTATTGATATATTCATAAAAAACACTTTTTGTTGTCCTTAACAGAATTGGCCAGATTAAGTTCAAATTGTGCTTTTGCCTCTCTAATTTTCTTTCTACATGACCTAACTACATTCCTAAACACTTCCTTGCCTGCCCTTTTTTCCAAAGGTGATGGACTCCCTAATTTCCTACAAAATCTGCCTGTTCAGCCAGGCTGGTCGTCTTCCCCACTGGCTCACCTTTGGGCACACAGGGACAGCCTGCTCCTGCACCTCCAAGATTTCTTTCTTGAAGTATGTCCATCCTTCCTGGACCCCTTTGTTTTTAAGGGCTGTTTCCCAAGGTACTCTCTAAACTAGTCTCCGCAACAGGCCAAAGTCTGCCCTCTGGAAGTCCAGGGTAGAGGTTTTGTTGGCACCCTTCCTTACTTCACCGAGTATTGAAAACTCTATCATTTCATGGTCACTGTGCCCCAGACAGCCCCTGACTACCACATCTCCCACTAGCCCCGCTCTGTTTGTAAACAGCAGGTCTAATGGGGCCCCACCACTGGTAGGTTCGTTTATCAGCTTCAACAGGAAATTATCCTCCATACACTCTAGGAATCTCTTAAACTGCCTCTTCTCCACTGTGTTGAGTTACCAGCAGACATCCAGCAGCTTAAAGTCACCCAGAAGAACAAAAAGTGTTCTCCCCACAAGTGTGTGAGGATGAGCAATGAATCCATACTGCTGATGCTCTTACTGCACTGCGTTCCTTCCTAGTGCAGACTGTCAGATTATGTATATCTCATTTCTTTCCTTCCAACATTGATATTTGCAGCATTGCTTTCATTAATGTTGGGGTACTCAATTATCAGATAAGCAGAGTTTATAGTGGATTTTGCTTGCTTTCTGTGGAGCTTGGCAGCAGTGGTGCTGCCTTATCATATTTTCTGTGACTGTAAGGAATGCTTTCTGGAGACCATGAAGGTGTGAGTGTCACTGTTCTTCAGAACAGTATCAGACATATCTCAGAAATCCAGGATTAAAATGAATAGCTTAAAAAGTCCACAGGTAACATACTTGTGAATTCCAAAGTCTCTGAAATTAGGGGTTTGTACCTAAACAAGCACAATTATATACCACCATTTGTATATCACTGCCCTTTACCAAACAGCTCACAGTTTTTTATTCTGTGTCAAGTCCTTAAAGCACTACTCTTTCTCAGCTGGGATATTGGAATCTTTATTCTGGAATAGGAGAAATTAATTTCCTAACCAACTGTTACTGCAAAAATGTGATCAGTCCATCACACTTTAGGAGAGGATGATCCCAAATTATTCCTAAGTGGTTTCAGGTTTGCCTTAATAAACGTAGTTCACCCAACTGCTAATTAAAGGTGAAACCAAATATTCAGAGACAATATTTGAATTTTATAAATGTAGAATAACAAAAAATATTAGCTAGGCACAAGAGTAAAATTAAAAAACAGTGTTAGCCCACCAAATGATGCTCCAAGGATGTATGGAGCCCTGTTCTTTAAAATCCTTAACTGCAGTTGTCAAAACAGTAGTAAATATAATTGTATTGCATGAAGAGAATGATATCTTGGGCAGGAAAGGATGATTTTTCATTTTCTGTGATTTTTTTTTTACACAAATGCTCTGAAGTCCTTTGAAGTTCACTATGAAAACTCTGTCAAAACCTTTGGTTTTGGTAGTCTTCAGAGAGCTGTCCTGAGGCATTTCCAAGGAATATTTGAAAAACTGGACAAAACAATTATAGCAAAACCCTAGAACAGGCAGCTTTTCTGAAAGCAACTTATCTTTGTGTAAGAAGAGATGCGTAAAGTTGATCTTTGCTACTGTAGGACAATGAAATGAATAAGTGAAAGGATAGTCTAGCATATTGAACAGATTCTGCAAGTGAGTAGAAAAACATACAAATAGAAGCAGGGAGTCTGTAACTATTTTGTCACCGAGAGTAAAACAAAATGCTAAACAAAATTGATTTCTGAAAGTTTGTGTGCAATGAGGCGCCTGAGAGTGTATTATGGCTGAATCATGTTTTCTGAATGTTCAGTTAAAGACTTTGGGAGTCCTGGACATGTAAATATACAGAATCCAGTATGTTTTCTTACACATTTAATTCCTATTTATATTACACCAGTGGCTAGAAGCCTATATTGAGGTATGGATTTTTGTCTTCTGTAGGCAAACTGAAGAAACACTGGTGAAAGACTGTGCAAACAAGCAAATAAAAGGGGCAATGAAAATGAGCTGTATTCCCCCTTTTTTGGAGACAGCACCACAGAAGTAGTGTATAATTTTTTTTAAAGGAGAGACAAAAAGTCTTGACTGGGAACTAAGTACAGACCTCTGAAATTGCTATTACTTTTATATACAGTGACTCTTTAAAACCTCCAACAAGTGAAGTTTTTAAAACCAGCAATGATAAATGATAATGTCAGAGCCAGCCAGTGTTGGGCCCTGTAAGATATAAAATCTGTGGCTGAGGTGATGCCACCGTCTGAATTTAAAAAATGAAGAGAAGTGTAAATGAAGGTAAAAACATTGAACAGTGGTTCATAGACCTTGTGCTGACCCCAGAGCAAACAAGTATGGTGGTTTGAAAAACCTTTTCTCTGGGGCAGTAATGGTTTGCCCCACTGATAATACTAGACCAATCAAAGGTTCATATGCGCCCTGCGGAAATTACATACCCACAGCAACGGAAGAGAAGGTGGTGAGGTAGTTTTTTTTTAGTAGGTTGGTAGCCATGATCTGAACCACGAGGAAGCAGGGGGCCAGTGAGCCCCCTCTGGGGGCCAAGAGCCCCCAGCCCCAGCTGAGGCTACGAGAGACCCGGTGTAGTGTCAAAGCTGGACCGGGTCCCGTAATCAAGAGGTGGGAGAATTTCCTTACTGTCAGCAGCAGCAGAAGACATTGAAAACAGCAGCGGAGCAGTCCTGAACAGAAACAGCGATGGCTGAAGGCCAAAAAGATAGCCAGTAGCAACAAGATAACATGAAGCCGGCTGAAAGACGCAGCGATGTTCCTGCAGGAGGGAGAGCTGGCAACGAAACAGAGGAAAACTCAACAGAGCTGGTTTGGGGTAAGACTGTATTACTTTCCCAAAACCCAGACACCTGCTGAAGAGCAGGGGTGGACTTCCAAACCTTTAGGGAGTCCCAAAATGCAGCAGCAGCTAGAGAGAGAGAAAGGAGCCAAGAAGCCCGGAGTCGTCCTGAGAGAACTGAGCCAGGACAGAGTGCGGAGGAGGTGGCCGTGCCCTCTGCTGCTGCTGCTGCTGCTGTTTCTATCATGCTGGGAAGCTGAG